AATTAAGAATCAATATGACTTTGTAATAGACAGATGATTAGTTTACCTGTAGAGTGGAAATATATTTTCCATATACTGCCCACGACCCTCATGCTGTAGAAGGTTTCCGAAATGTATGGATACAGCAATAGCTGCCACTAATGCTATTGAGCCGCCAGAGAACAAACCTGTTGGTGAAACGTATTTCAGTTGCTAAAAAGTAAAAACTATGGTTATGATGCAGTTTACCAAATTTTTCTAAGCACTTATCTCGGATGAAGATAATACATCACTGGTAACCTCTGATAGAGGCGAATCAAGGATCCAGAGTTAGTTGATTCAAATGAGTATGATCTTTATTATATGTGTACATTTAAAATTTTGTTTTGCATATGTATTACTCATAGTTCGAGCTGAATGCAATAGGTTCGGTTGAACCGGAAGAATCCGCCCTAAATCAGCATTTGACCTCTGATTACACAGGAAGAAGTTGATGCTACTAATGATGCATACTTACCCAGGAAAAATGTTACTCTATGCGTTTCTCTTTTAGCTTGTGGTCTTAAAGATTTCATTCCTTTCCTTCGATTTCCATTGACAAAATGCTTTATGAATGTGGCCTCCACTCTTTCTATGAGCTTAGCAACCTAAACAAGGCATAGATCGATGAGAAGTTCAAACTATAATAATGCTGAGAGGAAAGCAGTTTTTGAAACTAAAGGAAAATGTATATACCTCATCAGAGCTACCAAGATAAGATTTATTAACCATCTCTAAGTATGATTTAGAAGCTTTCCTTGAGGTGATCTGTAATCAATAAAATTGCAAGGTGAAAAGGCAAAACTTAAATACTTTCCATTGGCATATATAGTGATCACTTCAGTGTAGTACCTTGTCATACTTCTTCATGATCTTGGAAAATGCCAACACATTTAAGAGACTGGCACAATTAAGTAGCAAAATTAAGTGCGAGTTTTAGTTAAAGATAAAAACAACTAGTATAAGTAAGTCCTCATTTGGAAGAAAAAATGCAAGCACTACCAGAAGTTTTTCAGAAGTCGAAGCTTTTGATAGAACTCAACAAAAGCCTTTCTCATTTGTTCTTCAGCTTTTCTGAG